CTCAGAGAGTCCTGACTTTTCAGATCCTTTGAAAACACGCCAGCTATTGCTAAGGAGTTGGCAGGATGCAGGATGCTGATCCTGAAAGGGAAGAGAGTCCTTGGAGGATGCTGAAGTCTTCTCCAGTTTTCAGTTACCCTGCAGTACTATGGTTAAACTCTGCTTTTCCAGACCGCCAATGGGTACATTGTGGCTTGTGTTTGTGCATCAGGGTAGAAGAGTCTCACCAGGCATCAACCATTTATTTATAACTATCTCACTGCCAAGCTTAGGACTTTTAACAGCTGCCTTTACTCCAAGCAGAGCTTCTGGGTTTTTTTGGAAGTGACCATTTGGGGTTAATTGCCTATACAGAAATACAAACACCCCATTTTAGCCTTTCTATAGATGCTCCATGATGGAGATTACAAAGTTGCTTAAGGAATTATGAACCAACCACATTCCTAAGAGACAGCTATTACTGGAGTAAGTTTATCTAGCCAAGCTATATTTATTTATTTTTGACAATCTGCTGCTTTTTTTTTTTTTTTTCCAGATCTTGTGGCTGTCGGATGTGAGTTCAACAGGGTCCATTATCAGAATGGCCAAGTATTTCAGCCCCACCCACTGTTCAGCTGCCTGTGTGTGGGTGGGGCCATTGGATGCACACCCCTTTTCATCTCCCGGATGGCTGGCAGCAACTGTTCTGCAGCTGATGGTGTGAGATCTGGTACAACCAACTGTGGCCTGAGACCTCTGCAACAGAGGCTCTCAGCAGGCTACAGAGCATCCCCAGGTGATCCTCAAAGCTCTAGCTCAGGGTCCTGCAACAGGGGCTCTCAGCAGGCTACAGAGCATCCCCAGGTGATCCTCAAAGCTCTAGCTCAGGGTCCTGCAACAGAGGCTCTCAGCAGGCTACAGAGCATCCCCAGGTGATCCCTAGCAGGGACGCTGCCATGGATGACTTCCTGTGGCTCTTTCTAGATTCCTTTTATGCACCACAGGCAGTAAGAACTCACTGGCTGCTGCTTTATAGCACTATAAAGTATTTGCCTCAGGCAGGTATATTCCAAGTGTCTGAAAACTTTATGTTTTGGTTTTGAGGATAACATAGTCTGAGTTTTAAATCCTACTAGGTCAAGAAACTTCTAAAATCTTACACCTCTGCTAATCCCCACCCACTTCTTAAGAAAACTGAACAAATATTGTTCATATATACCCTAAAAACCTTTCATTAGTAATCTATTATGGGTGAGTTTGACCACCCAGTTCCTGCATTCAGTTTTGTATATGGTCTAGCAGAAATGGAAAGTTGATTTGAAAACTTTTTTTTTTTTTGAGGACTAACACATTTTGAAGTTCAAAATATTATTTTAAAAACTAGTAAAAATAACATTTTGAACATATCATTTTCAAAAAAAAGTTCCAGTTTTCTTGTTCACTTTAAAGCAGGCCACTGTGTCTTGGTGAGGATGCAAAGCAAGACTCCCACGTGCTCACAGAGAGCAGGAGGTGCTGCAGGCGTAAATATGTCCTACTTACACACTGGAGAGTTTTCCAGACCGGAGTTCCTCTAGGCTCACCTTCATTATGTTGTTATCAGCGAAATGAGTTTTAGATATTCAAAAACACAATAAATACATCCTCAGGGACTCTGTTATGACAATTTACCAAGTTGTGTGTGTGATCACTCAGCTAACAGCATGACATTACTAATGTTCCTAAGAACTCTGAAATGGTAAGTTCAGGGAAGTGAGACTATCTCCCAACTCTGGTATTTGAGATGGAGGCTTCAGTGTTTCAAGGTATGCTAAGTCTACTGCGACCACGTGGGAATTTGGCTTTCACAGCGAATGTCAGTGAAAGCATACGTCTTTGAAATTTATGCGTGATAACTAATGCGGCCTATTGCTGGAATCTAGCTTTTGTTGGGTCAGTGCAAAGCAATCAATGGCTTTTATTAATCCCACACTTTCTTTGCTTTTTAAGGAAGGTTGAACAAATTCCTGAAGTGCAGGCCTGGTTTATTTGTAAGAAGGGGTTATCAGCGATGCAACAATCTAAGCCACCTTTATCTATTGCAGATTTACGCCCGGCTTCTAACCTGCTTCCTGCAGCACTGTCTTTAACTGTTGTCTGCCTCCAGGTATCTTTATGTTTCCACTTCCTGTTGCTCCGCCACTTGCAAGTACAAGCCCTCACTGTCACAGGAAGGCAACGCCCTGATGCCACTTTCTTCAGACAGGGCTTCTCTATTGAGGGGGCTGTTGATGACTTTCTGGCTTTAAGTTGATACTCTCGATGTAGAACTGTGCTGTTAACTCAGGACATGCAGTAACTTTAGAGAAATGCCTTGAAGGAACAAACCTATTCCGTTTACTTTCTACGAACCAAGGGGTCTGTTCCACTGGAGTGCAGTGCCACTATGTTTTTCATGGGATGATCAGGGAAGGGTTACTACCTTTTTCCCTGTTTCTCCTAAGCAGCAGGCAGTGGAATGATTTCTCCACTCATCACTCAGCCACGATTACATTGCTCGCTAAGTATTTCATAGGTGATTTTAAGTGGCTGGCTCACAAAGTACCTGTGGGCCTGACAAGAGCGATCGAGACAAGCTGGGTGAGACAGGCATTTGCAGTGACTTAGTATATAAAACTAATTTAGTGCAGTGCAGTATTAATTCCGTTTGTTACACATTTGCAGGATGGACAGCTGAGACTCGCTGTTCAAGCCTGGTGACCTGAATTTGTCCTGACCTCCACAGGCACGCTGAGCCCGTGAGCCGCACCCTGATTAAAACTTTCTAAGACTAGGTTTTAAAGTGGAAGAGAACTGATTTCATTGTCTCATCCTTAAATGACTTTGTTTTAGACTTTTTTTTTTTTTTTTTTTAACATAGCATGACATTTAAATACTAAGATCATACTAATGCTTGGAAGGTAGAAGGATTGCAAGTTAGTGGGCAGTCTGAGCTACACAGCAAAACCATGTCTCAAGGAAGGAAATAAAAAGACACACCACTCTGCTTAACATCCTGAATTCCCTAACCCTACCAACGTCTCTGCTGTTGCTATCAGGCGAAAGTAAACAAAAGATGGGCCCTGACCGGAAGTAGTATGATACTGGAGAGCAGATGAGGCAGAATGACGGCAGCGGGTGAAGATGAGTCTTCATTCCCTGGGAAACTTGACTGAAAGGAAACTTAGGTACCGGGAAGGGAGGATCACTTAGGATATAATCATTTACCCTTTCATGCAAAAAGCCTTAGAACTTTTAAATACCGACTTTATGTTTCAAAATTAAATCCAGGTTATGTAGGTATGGGCACACATATGCACTCCCCCCCGTTTATGTTAGCTTACAGGAACCTCCCGCTTACGTGGAAAAAAAAATGCCTTGTGCAAGCAACGAAGTGGAGTCCTTGCTCCAGAACGTGTGGCATGGGGATTTCTACCAGGGTAACCAATGGAAACAGCAAGTGTGAGATGAGAAGAGAGAAGAGGCTCTGCTACATTCAGCCCTGCAGCAGGAATGCATCGAAGGCAGTGGAGGTAAACCACAGCCACATTTAACTGAATTATGCTTCCACCTTGAGAAGTTTCTGAAAAGCAAGTACGTGCGTATATTCTGGAGGGAGGGATGGATAGTATTTGGATCTCATCAAACAAAACCACCCCACGGTGACTGACTCTTAAAGTCAAATTATCTCAGAGGACAACGGGGGGGGGGGGGGATTGATCTAGCTCATCTCTGCAGGGAAAATTTCATACAGTAGTGATGTTGGCCTGTTGATTGTAGGTGTTCTGCCAGTTTAATGTGGGTCTTGCTGGGTTGTGGAGGTGCACACCTTTAATCCCGGCACTCGGGAGGCAGAGACAGGCAGATCTCTGAGTTGAGGTCAGACTGGTTTACAGAGTGAGTTCTAGGCCAGCCAGGGACACACAGAATCCAAGAGATATCTAATCTGAAGGAACGATATGCATAGGGGTTACAGGAGACTGGGCTGCTCAAGACCCATATTGTTTGTTTGGCTTTTGGTTTTTTTGGGACAGGGTTTCTCTAACTTTCTTCTTGCTCATACTAACTGCAGAAATGGAACCACACTATGGGACATAAAATTCCAGTTGTTAACTGTAAGTATGAAAACAGAAGCTCTGTTCAGTTAGATATGACTGCTTATCTTGGAGGACACACCAGAACGTTCTGTGCATGTCAGAGTAAACTTGCCAACGACATGTTATCCTACAACCGACTTAAATTTTACAGCCGGTCCTCCTTCATCAAGGCAAGAGAATTATCTTTTATTTATTTATTTAGAGACAAAGGTCTGGAACTCACTATGTAGTCTAGGCTGGCCTTAAGCTCAGAGATCCACATAGCTCCTGAAATGTAACAAACAAGTAAGTTTCCATTTATTGTAGACCTGAATAAAAGATGGAATGAGACGCACCAGACAGAGAGTATGATAGGGCAAGGGTATTTTACAGAGAGGAGGGTCCTAGATGTCACAAACAACTACTGTTAGTGCCCAAAATAACTATAATCTGGTGCCTGTTATACATTCTTAAGTTAGTGTAAACAAATTTAAAGAATGACTTTTTAACTTTACTCATCTTTTCAGATCCCCAGAGAAAAAACATGTCAACCCACTTTCCAACTCTCCAAAGCTGAAAAATTCGTTTTCTCTGGATGCTCAAGTACTCAGAGTTACAGACCCACCTTCTGTGGAATGTGCCTGGATAGGAGGTGCTGTGTCCCCAGCAAGTCTAAAATGATCACCGTTCAGTTTGACTGTCCCAGTGAGGGGTCATTTCAGTGGCGGATGCTCTGGGTCACATCTTGTGTGTGTCAGCGAGACTGCAGAGAGCCAGGAGATATGTTTTCTGAGCTCAGGCTTCTATAGAGCCAAACACACACGAGGGAAGTTTAAGACGAAGTCATTCACATCACAGAATGAAAAAACTAAAGTAGCTGTAAAAGGGTGGAGATTTATTTAATGGGTTTAAAACAGAAAGAACCACTCATCATTCTTTGGTGGCTTTATTTCTGAAATCACAAGTTTCTAAAAAGTATTCTAGTAAAACAAAAAGGAATGCCCGAAAAAATCTAAATATAACTCATTTCTTGAGTACATCCTATAATTACATAATATATACATACATGGTACCATATAAAGATTTTATATATAGTAAAAAATATAATTTATAAGAAAACATTTTATACAGATGTAAAGACATAATTTAAAATGTTATTCTGTAATTGGCAATACAGTCTATCAGATCCTATTACACAATAATCAGGGTGAAAGCAAGGGTTTTAGAAATAAGATACTATAACTGTATCTATAATTTTCATCGCCACGTTCTGAATATCAGTTAAGATTCTTCTAGGAAGGAGAAAACGGAATGTCTGGGACTACTGTTAATAACTGTAATATTGCAGTTTTTATACCAAATACTATAAAAATCCTAAACTATCAATATAAAAACCAAAAAAGAGAACAATTACTTAGCGAAAGAAAGATAAATATTAATAAACAAAGCATAACAGATCATTTTTTTCTCAAAAAGAATTTCCCCCCCAAAAATTATTTACTGGAAGGATAAACCAACCAATGAACCTGAAATATAAATAGTGACTAAAAACAACATTAAAGATTCAAAAGATTATGGTGACTGAAATAATGTCTGTAGATAATAACCACTTACTACAAAATTCAGATGATGACACCAAGCTTAGCAATGTTCTGTTCACTGTGCAAACGCTGACATGATGGACCCTGATGAGTAGCGTGGTTTAAACTATTTATTTTAAAAGTGACTGGGTGTCTACGCTGTGATTGTATTGAGTATAAACATGTTATCACTCAAAGAACAAGTCTATCAGTTTTAATAAAAACTACCTTCCAGAAAGCCCACAGACATCACACACACTGCGTTCGTCCATCCCTAGGAGCTGCTTTTCAGCATTTACAGAGTATGAACATACAGTATAAATATAAAAAAGGTGTGTACAGTCTTTCCTGAGCCGTTCACCAGTGTGAAACGGTCTGCAAAAGGAAGCTACGAATAAAGCAAAGCGCTGAAAAACCACTCCTTCACTCTACATCGACTCTCACTGCATAGCCCGGGCTGGCCCTGAATAGTCAGACACACTGGAATTACATGTATGAACCCCCATGCCAGGCCCTCTCATAATTTTGACAAATCGTTAGAAGTGACCGCACACACTGGTACAGAAAAGGTCCAACAAAATAGAAACCACTGTTTCATAGCATGGAGAATAAATTAGGCTTTCTCAATCACAGGAGATGCTGAAAGACAAAGGGGAAAACCAGTGATCCAGAAAATAACAAAGCATTTTTAGTGTCTTCCCTCACATGGCCACGCTTAGCCTTGGCACGTCCTGCACAGGCATGCTCTTGGTGGCATCAAGTTCATTATACTCCTGTATGAGTACTGACAGAGAGGACACAGCTTCTGCAAAAGCGCCCTCCTCCATCCCGTCAACTTGCAGATAGTGATGGAGGTGAGCCTGTAATTCAAACATTCCAACATTAGCACCTCACGAACTTAAGACACACAACTACCTCATAGAGCAATACTGTTAAAGTACAGGTCGTTCACCCATCCCTGGGAGCTATAAGCAGTTAATGACTGCTGGCGAAGGGGCGAGTAAGTCCTCCGTGGAAGGAGCCTCCCACCCACACTCACTCAAGGAACCCCAGTTTAATGACAGTGAGGAAAACACAGGCAGACACGCGCACACAAGTGCACACACATGCGCACATGCACGCGTGCACACACAGGCGCACATGCACGCGTGCACACACAGGCGCACATGCACGCGTGCACACACGCGCGCACACACACAAGAAGATAGGGAAGACTAAGAAGCAGAAGGGTTCGGCTGGAGGGGGATAGGAGAGAATAATGGGGAAATATGATCAAAGTAGGTACTATGTGTGTAGGAAATAGCGAAAGATTAAATAAAATTTTAAAAAAGCATAAAGCATTAAGCTCTAAATGGGAAACAGGAACTGAGTAAATATGACTGAGGATGCGTCCACTAGTACTAGACTGGCGTGACTGACTTAGTGGATTTGAGGCTCCCTACACTGGAGCTGCAACCCAGGCCAAAAGCCCAAGACTCAGGAGATCACAGGATGTAAGGGACCATCTTTGCCATTGCTTTGCTAACTGAACACGTTCTAAACTGTCCATCTATATCTCTATCCACAGAATATGCTGCTTTCAATACTGGTCACAACGGTTTCTGTTTCTCCTCCCAGTGGACAGTGCAGATACGCATAACTAGTCCAAACAGGAGAATGACTGACTATTGAGTACTCATCTGTAGAATCACCCCAGCACACACCCCCGGCCTCACCAAGGCTCCGGGCACACTGCAAGCCAGAATCTGGGAAAGAGTGAGGCGAGCGTGCATGGCCTCTGTGCTCATGGGCTCACGGCGGGCGCTGTTACGTTACCTGCCTAGGAGGAAGTCTGCCAACAGAGTGAAGCTGGCTGGGAGGGGCTCATGAGGCCCCACCCCCAACGCAGGGCTACAGGGAGTTAACGTTTGCTGGGGGGAGGGGGTCATTCTTGCTCAGTGAGGTAGGCACTGATCCGCTGCCCACGCACCAGCAAAACTCCACACTCGTGTTCCTGCAAGCAACCCTCGTCAAACTCAGTGTCACTAGGAAACGAAAGGAAACCAGGGGACTTGTTGGGAAGCAGCCGTCCGGAGGGAGAGGGCTGGGGAGAGGGCAGTGTGGGGGATATAATCAGAATACATTATACACATTTTAAACAAAGTTAGCATATTGCGTAAATCCCATGGATTCACAGAGTGTCTCATTTAGGTATAAAATAGCACAGGTGAACTTCTCTTTGCTTGCCCCTAGTGAGGCAGATATGCTGCCCACTCCAGCCCCGACTTCCAGCACAGCTCACAAAGCAGGTGCAGTCACAGAGGCCTGCAAGTACCTTTTTCTTGTAGAGCCTCAGGAACCTCTCTCTCAGCTCCACGAAGGTGGGCTTCACACACGTGTTGTTTGCTAACGCTAACAGTGAATGGGGGTGACCCACAGGCGGCACTGAACACAGGCTCGTCTTCCAGCCTTCTTGATTCCAGGAGACAAACTGCAGAGCAGGTTTTAATCTGAGATACAAACACCCTAAGGTAAGAACGAAGGAACTAAACATGCCACGTTACAGCGGCTCAGCCCCCGTAAGGAAAACAAGGACATCAGCAGAAGCATCGGTGGAATCTGCCATCTGTCTTTAACACTGGCAGCATCCCATGACAGTATGATGAAGCCTCTTACATTTCACCTAGTGCTTACAAAAACAAGGCTTTGTGCTGAAGCAGCCACTCACCTACCGTCACATTTTACTATAATTTGAACAAAGGCTTTCTTAACTACCATGCACTATAATGTCCCAGACTGTACATGTGAATTATCTTAAAAAATAAAGGCAAACCTTTCAATATTTCTGCGAAGATCAGAAATCTGCACATCTCCTCTAACAATGAGGGCACAGGCGAGGTAGAGACTGTGTCTGGGGTCTGCTTGAATGAGTTGGTGATCTTTACTGAAGGCATCGGAAAACATCTGGTCCAATCTACAACAGGAAAGGGCCACTGCTTACACAACATGTTCTCTTCTAACATAATTATATAATGAAAATATTCTCAGTGCTCAGGAGGCAGAGGCAGGCGGACTCATGAGTTCGAGGCCAGCCTGGTCTACAGAGCGAGTTCCAAGGCAGCCAGGGCCTCAAAGAGGATCCTGTCTCAAAAGGATGGGGGGAAATGTTTACTACCAGTTTACATTTGGTGAGTTCACATTGGTAAGTGCTGATGGCTCAGTGAACGTCAGGGATGGATCATGACCCATCCATCGCTTCCCTTGAGGTCATTATAGGATCCCTGGGAGATAAAGAGTCCTAGCTACTGGCTGGCACAACTTTATTCGCTCAAATAAGGTTTATTAACATCACTTGTAATATTCCTGAACTATAGAACTGTTACTTTACCAAAACTTTAACTGTAAAAAAGTATTTTTGAGGGCCACTGAGATGGCTCTGTGGTTTGAGCATGTTTGAGTTCAGTTCCCAGTACCCACGTAGAGCAGCTTACACACACCTCCGGGGGGAATCTGTTGCCTCTGCCCTCTGCAGACACCTGTACTCATGCTCATATACACACCCACAACATACACGTAATTAAAACAAAATCTTAAAACAACAACAAAGCCCTTTGGAAACACAAGATGACTCAGCAGATTAAGGTGCTTGCTATCAAGCCTGGCAACCAGGGTGCATTCAATCCCTGGGACCCCATGATGCAGACGAGAATTCCACAGGTGTTCTCTGCTCTTCAAACACTCCACAGCACAAACACACACAATAAACATTTAAAGACGTGATCAGGGTAGTAATATGTGTGTTTGTCTGTGCACCACAACATGCAAACCTGGTGATCCCAGAGGCCAGAAGAGGGCCCCAGAGCCCCTGGAACCAGGGTTACAGTGAGTTGTGAGCCATCATGTGGGTTCTGGGGGTTTCCCAGGGCTTATTGAATGCTAGGCACATTCCACCGACCAGGCAACAACCTAGCCAGCTTTCTTGGTTTCTGTATTTTTGAGACTGTCTCACTGTGCATCCCAGACTGACCTGGAACCCATGAATGTCCTTCCTCTGGTCCCCAAGTGCTGGTATTACAGGTGTGTGACACCATAACCAGCCTAAAAAACATTTTTCCCTCTCTTTTAAAATTTTTTTTTTTTAGGGGGACAGGATCTTACCATGTAGACCGCCAGGGTCTATACAGACCAGGCTGGCCTCAAACTCAGAGTCTGAGAGTCTCTACCTTCCGAGATCTGGTGTTAAAGGCAAGTGTTACCATGTCTGGCCCTAAAAGTATCTTCAAGGTGGTCTGAAATAGCTACCACGTAAGAGCCTTCTATGGTGCTTGGCTGTGGTAAGAACTTCAGAACATCATTTCATGTATCCACCAACAGTAAGAGAATATAAGACATTTACCCAAGATCCTACAGCTGGCAACAGAATCAGGATTCAAGCCTGCCAGATTCTATTAATTTTCAAAAGTCTAGAAATTTAGTTACCAGGTTCAATTTCAGTGTAATACTGACATTTTAAAACTACTTACCGTCTAAATAAGTATTTGCCTGATGAAAAATGGCTTTCGTTAATTAAATTTTACATGATTCTCAGCAATAAAATGATATAAATAACCCGAGTTAATATAAAGTCTTTTCACTGAAATTTCACTTCAAGTTCTCAGGAAAATGGGGCCCAGTTCTATCTTACCTTCGGGGGGGAATATGGACATCTGCCAGAGTGTACAGTGGTGTAAGGCTCGACACAAGATAGTGAAGTTGAGGGAAAGGAACCAGGTTCATGCTGATCTCATTCAAGTCCATATTCAGGGACCCCTCAAACCTCGCAGAGCTAAAAGGTCAACATTCCAACAATGAGAAACCTTTTCATTTAGAACAGTAGTTCAGCAGGCCATTTTCTCAGATTCTTTATACACTAATCAGAGCAGAATGGACCCTTTGTTTCTGAATCACTGAAATTGATTATCATGAATAGAAGGCTAAAATACAACAATGCCTAGCAATTCTTATTTCTAGATTTCTAATGTGCAAGCAACCTCTATTATATTTGTTCATTATACATGTAAAAGTACCCTATTTAAACAGACTTTATATTGAGTTACACACATAGAGGTGAATTGTGGAAATGTTATTAAATTTATCAAGGGTCTGACTAATACACTCAGAATCATAATCTTAAATACTTGGGAGATCTGAGACCCACGCCATGGAATCGTTTTGGATCCGATGACAACGATGTACAGATTAACTGGTTTCCAGCAGTGGCGGTATGAGACTGCTGATCACAGAACCCACACTCGTGTTCTGAGTAGCACACTTGGAGAAAGGCTGGCTTATCACGCCAACACATGAAAACACAACACAGAGTGAGGATTTGGGCAGCACAAATTGGCCTGATGGGAACAAAAACCAGGCACGAAGTTGGGTAGAAGAAGGGGCCGTAAGGGTAAGAGTATGACCAAACTATGTTGTAAGAAATTTTCAAAGAACTAATAGAAAGGTGTCAGACAAATATATGGACAGAGAAACAATAGAAGCTCCTACAACTCAGAACAATGGACTGGGCTGGGTCTGTAGCCCAGTGGTCCAGTGCTTGTTTCAACATCTTCAAGAGCTGGGTCTAGCAGTGCCCCCAAATCAAACAAAGGAACAAAACAACACTAGATGTAAACATCACATGGGCTACCTGGTCAGGCTGAGGAGGAGATTGGCCACAATGTTGTTCATTGCATCAAAAGGCTTCTTGTGGCGCTTTGTAACGGCCCCCATATTCGACGTAACTAGACTCTTAGGCTTCACAGTTGTACCTAACTTTCCGGAATTTACCACAAGATCAATTTTGCTAATGATGTCAAATAAAGACTTGAGGGAAACAAAACAAAACAAAACATTGGGTAAGAAACTATTAGTGAACAACTTAGATGACATTTTGCAAGGCAAGAAAAGAAAAACAATCCGAAGTTATTCTTTCCCTTACATGGAGACGGTTAGGAACGGAAGAGGACACTGAACAAAAGGAAGGCACGTGACCCACAATTACATGTATATAAGATGTGTCTTACTTGATTGTCAACGGGCAGTACGCAGTCTGCATGTTCACTCAGTTCCTTCATGGCCAGCACACTGTTATAAGGGGAGGTGATAACATCGTCCTCGCTGGAAGGGTATACCGCTGTCACAAATCTGTACACTTCTGGGAATTCATCTTCAAGCATCTTTAACAGAAAAGTGCCAAGTCCAGACCCTGTTCCTGAGGATTAAAAATTCAGTGTGACTACAACACAGATAGTTCAGAGTGTAACCCTGAAGAACCCAGAGTGTTTTATGTGTAGGCATAATTTTCAGCTCAGAGCACAGGCTGTCAGGGCTTCAGGTGGAGAATCCCATCTCAGGTTCTGAGCATGAGCCTAGGATGGCTTTCTCTAATCATTTTTTTTTTTTTTTTTTTTTTTTGTATTTAAGTCATTAGATAACAAACTGAATATGAAAAATTCGACTAAGACAGCATCCAGTATTCCTGATAATAAGCAACCTAAAAAAACAAAACAAAAACCCATTTTGACAGTTTTGTTCTCAAGATATGCACTGTGATACAGAAAACTATCATGTCCTCAAGCAACTTCAAACACCCAATAAAATACATTCACTTTGTTTACAAAGTTTCAAACACAACACGCTATCGTTACTTATTTAAAAGCAGAAACTAGGAAATCTCATTAATAACTTTGTTTACACAAATGTAGAAAAATTTGACTTAAAGGAGAAAAGTGGATCCTTTGACTTAGCTTTTCTTCCAAACCTTGTTAATATTACCATTTTAAAATTAGCACATTGTCATGTTTCTGCTTTATAGACAGGAGAGCAAGACACTTCCATTGCAAATTACAGGCTCATCTGGGTAAACAAAGCAATGCAGGCATGCTTCAAGCTCATGATTAAGTACTGTGACATGAGTGGCTGTTAAGGAACTAACTGAAATCAGTTTTCTTACTGGAGGGAGGTGTGGGGAGGTCTGAAGGTGGTTAATAAAAGAGTATCAGCATCCTCATAACGGCAAGCCAAAAAGACGATGCCAGAAGAACTCAATTCCACTTGGGACATAGGAACTAACAAGCATTTCTCAAAAGTGCACACATACTGGAGTGTGTTTGAAATATTACAAGAGAGTCTAGAAGTGAAAACAAAATCCAAAGTTGAAAACAGCAAGACTGGCTAACAGTGAGTCTCAGTTTTTTATGTGTGTGCTTGTGCACTGCACAAGCATGTGAAGACAAAGGCAATGTCAGCTGTTATTCAAATGTGTCCACTGCTTTGTTTGACAGCCCCACTGGCCTGGAGCTGGTCGTCCAGTGAGCCTCATGCCAGCTGTCTCTTATCTATCTGCCTCGTCCTCCCTAGTTCTGGAATTACAAGCAATGTGCCACCACACCCGGCTTTTTTATGTGGCTCAAACTCAGATACTCAGGCTTGTAGCATAAACACTGCACCCAGTAAGCTAGCTTAGCCACGACTTCACACATTTTTAAGGTGAAAAGCTGAAATACACAAACAATGCAGTACACCTATACTCTGTCAGGTATATCCAACCCACGTCATGGTTCGTATGTGCTCTTGGCTAGTCATGAATGTGGCCCAGCACAATACGTAAAGCATCGTGAGCTTGTTTTTCTGTGCGTGGTTCTTTAGCAGGAACCTTTGGTTGACACTGTGTCTCAGTGTGAAGAGGACGGACATGTCTGCTAGGTCGGTGTAGCAGGTATCACGTCTGAAAATAAGCCTTGTGTTTGCAAACCGAATTCCCAATCACATGTAACTCCATTCCAGGCAAATGAGTGAGTGTTACCTCCTCCCATGGAGTGTATGATAAAGAAACTCTGCAGGCAATCACAGTGCTCGGCTGACTTCCGGAGTTTCTCTAAAATCTGTTCCCGGTAAAGACTTCCGAAAACTTTGTGACCCACGGCCCTGAAAGCAAGAACACAGATTAAGTTATTTTCAATTTTTCCATAGATAAATTATAAACAAAATAAGAATTCAGTTATAATTTTTTTGTTTCCATTTAAACGAAACTCTGAACTACAGCGAATTTACATATTAAAAAGCAGAATGAGGTTAACTCAACAGACAATGAAATGCAAAATTTCAAACTAATTTATGTTGTTTAACAATGGGAAAAACTGGCCACATCACGTTACTAGATGAAATGGCAATGGTTGAAAATGATGTGAAAGGTCTAAGTTGTCTTTGCTTATCAAATCTTGGAGGATCACTATGACACAAGATAAAAATGGTGTCCCATTACATGAGCTTAGTGCACGCAAGCATTACACAACAAGTTATATACAACCAGAGGAAGGCTAGGCGGCTGGTCGGGAAGACTGGTAAGTGACTGGCTGTCCCTGGTCTCCTGACACACGGAATTCAAACTACGCTTTAAGACTGTACATCTGAACAAACGGCGTGAAGCAAACTTAATTTTTAAGCAAGAACAACAACAAATCAGTGTGAATTCTTTAACTGTTGGACCAGGTTTTCTCCATTAAAGAGATTATATAGTTAAGACAGCCTGTGTCAGCTCGGATAGGAGAATCCTGGTTTGGCTTATATCCTTCTGTTAATTCTATTGATTTAGACAAACAGGAGAAATTGAAGAATCAAAGAACATCAGAAAATAGTTTTTAAAAGTACTTAAAACTTAAGAATTTAGCATATCGATTTCTCAGGATTAATTTTCTACTAAAAACAAAAGCAGGAGTAAAAGTAGATCCCGGCAGCTTCCGAGCATCATAAAGCAGCAGCATCAGTTAGTTACTAACAGATGAGGCAGAAAGGCCGATACTTCTGTGTGGCAAACCGTGCTTTGATTTCATTACAGCGGGATCTGTGAGGGTGAGGCAATGGACACTCAGCCTTTTAAAGGGCATTCAGTATGCTCTTACCAATTATTTCCTGAGCCAGAGATATCAGTGATGAGCTGCTTGTTATCAAACACATCTCTCAGTGGCCCCTGGAGAATTCCATTCACTACTCCTTCTTCCATGTCAATCAAAACAGCCTGAAAAGAGAATTTATACTGAGCATATTTATTTTCTCTAGTAATGTATAAATTCAAGAATCCATGAGCTATAAGTTATAGTGTTCTTTTTCATAATCTGAGGTTAACTGAATTTTTCCTTTATGTAATCTATTGTAAGAATTAAAAAAATTTTTTTTTTTTTTTAAACCAGCTTAGAAAGATGGAACCCTAGCCGGGTTGGTGGAGTACACCTTTAGTCCCAGCATTCATGAGGCAGAGGCAGGCAGATCTCTGTGAGTTCGAAGCCAGCCTGGTCTACAGAGCTAATTCCAGGACAGGTTCCAAAACAATACAGAGAAACCCTGTCTCGAAAAACAAAAACAAAAAAGCAAAAAGAAGAAAGTGCTCAACATCCTTTAGCCATCAGGGAAATGCAAATCAAAAATAACTCTGAGATACCATCCTACTCCTGTCTGAATGGCTAAAATAAAAAAAAAAAAACACCAAAGACAGTTTATGCTGGAGAGGATATGGAGAGAGGGGAACACTCCTCCACTGCTGGTGGGAGTACAAACCCATACAGAGCCACTTTAGAAGTCAGTATGGTGGTTTCTCAGGAAAATGGGAATCAGTCTACTACAAGATCCAGTAATTCTACTCTTAGGCACATACCCAAAAGATGCACATTCATACAACAAGGACATCTGTTCAACTATGTTCATAGCATTATTTGTAATAGCTAGAACCTGGAAGCAACCTAAATGCCCCTCAACTGAAGAATGGATGGAGAAAATGTGGTACATTTACACAATGGAGTACTACTCAGTGGGGGGGGGGGGAGAACAATGGAATCTTGAAATCTGCAGGCAAATGGATAGAACTAGAAGAAACCATCCTGAGTGAGGTAATATAGTCACAGAAAGACACACATAGTATGTACTCACTCATATATGGATTTTAGACATAGAGCAAAGGCTCACCAGCCTACAATCCACATTGCCAGAGAAGCTAGGAAACAAGGAGGACACTAAGAGAGATATAATGGTCCCCTGGAGAAGGGGAAAGGGACAAGATCTCCCGAGCAAATTGGGAGCATGGAGGGGGGGGAGAGGGAGTTAGGACAATATGTAATTTTTACCTTAAATGCAGACATTGCACCAACAAGAGAGTCTTGACTGAACAAATTACATGTAGGATTATAAATTGTAAAAGATTATGAGACAATTATATTGGTCTTGTTCCACAGCAGACCGGATATGGTGCATGGAAGTTTACAGCTGAGTAAGCCACACCACCTGACTGCCTTGCCGATGGGGGAGACAAGAGGCAGCATTTGCTGTGATTTGGCCCCAGCTGAGGTGGCATTTGCACAATCATTAGTCCTAGTAACTGACTTAGCTCTCCTGATCTTCCCTTAGACACGCCAGGCCCCTGGTTTCCTCTACCTTCGAGAGCTAACTAAACGTTGAGAGTATTTTTGAGTCTTCGCTTAGGCATCCCCAGGCTTCAGTCAACACTGTTCCAGGAATATAGAAGTCTTTATTCGCTTCCAGAGCTATATGGCAGTAAGCAGAATACGGATTCACAGCGTTCTGTGTGCCTGCAGCCTAAGACACCATGTGTAATTAGTGGTCTAGATGTCGCAGTTTCTTTCTGGCTCGACTCTGGGATGCCAGTTCTCCTCACATAACTGAGCTTTCTCACCACCTTATCAGTGAGCAGGGGAAGGCACCGGGCACCACTAGGAAAGGATAAATGAGCACATTCCTGCAGCCTCTGGCTGCCACCGAGAAAGCACTTCCTAGGAAGCTTCCTCCGCGAGAACGCTTGGTGCTGTGCGGCTGTGGTCGCTGCTGAGTCCGCCACAGCCTGGTGCTTGGCTTCCCCAGTGTTCGCTGCGTTCATCAGCCGTGCTGACTGGCACGCACTTTTGCTTTCCATCAGAGATCACGCGGGGTCTTCAGGTGCCACTCTGCTGCTGGCTGGTCTCTCAGCCTCTACTACCAGGTCTGACCCCAGCACCTTGGTTCCTTACAAAGTATTTAAACTTTTCTTTTTTCTTTCTTTCTTTCTTTCTTTTTTTTTTTTTTTTTTTTTTTTTTTTTGGTTTTTCAAGGCAGGGTTTCTCTGTGTAGCCCCAACTGTCCTGGAACTCACAGAGATCTGCCTGCCTCTGCCTCCCAAGTGCTGGGACTAAAGGCTTGCGCCACCAACGCCTGGCTAACCTTTCTTTTTCTTACAGTCAAAGACTACTGACCAACAACTGGAAGGGAAAAGCAAACTTGCAGAGAAACAATGAACTCGAATTGCACAGCCATGTTACGAATTGCACAGCCATGTTACGAGAATCCCAGAATATATCTTACTCGGGCTTTCAAAGAAGATATTCTTCCTTTGGAAATACTGACACCATCACCGGCCACTCTAAAACAAAGGAATTGGAATGGGTCACAGATTTTCCAGGGCTGGTAGTGCTCACTTTCGTTTACACAGTAATCAGCAAAACAATCTGTCACCCCCCACCCCCACTGACACATGACATGGTACCCTTTGGGAAAACTGCAGGTTTCTCTTCCTGAAGCTTCATTTCAAAGTACAGGCTTGCAAACAGAAGTGCAGACAGCAGGGGTTGCTTCCGGGACCCTTTGGGCTGACTCTGAGACCCTTACCTGGTATCCACATTCCTGAAGAAGCTGCTTATTGCGTCGTCATAAATTCCTTTCTAGAAGCAAAGCAAACAGAGCATTTAAGTTCATTTTCCCCAAAGTCCTTCAATTTTAGTAATTCTACAAGAAAAAGCAACCTAGATGAGTTCTTCCAATTGCGTTTAAAGAGTAAAATACCAACAGAACTCCCGATTAAATGTGTGAGGGAACGAAGGAAACGTAAGCTCTATAGCATCACAGAGCCGGCACACCAAGGGAGAATGTCTTGCGATTCCTGATCGTTTGATGTGTTCTCTATTTTCACCTACAGCGCCTGCTGCCTTCCAAAACCAACTTAAAAAGGAAAGAAAGGGAGGCTGCTGAGAATTGGGGAAACTTAAGGCCAAACTCTTCTGCCTGTGTCTTACAGCAAGATGGGTTTAAAAATAAAGCAGCTACAATCCACAAGAGAAGATCCTACGCAACGTACGGTGCAGATAAAAAGTGCAACTTATGGTGCAGATAAAAATGCAAGTACGGTGCAGATAAGCTCGCCCAAGAGGGCTGGGCATGGCAGTGGCACTACTAGGCAAGCAGAGGCAGAGGGGTCACTCCAAGCTGGAGACCAGCACGGTCCACACAGCGAGCTCGGTTCTTGTCTGCGGGCTGGCGGGGGGCCCTGTGACGGGCTCGGGCTCGGGCTCGGGGCGGGCGGGCACCTGGTTGACCGCGGCGTGCTCCCTCAGCGCCAGATCCCAGAAGCAGCAGCCCACCTGGTTTCCGCACTGCCCGACTGCGGGGAAGAGACGGGACGTTAGGAGGCGCCCCGGGGCCGGGGGCGTGGCCGGGGCGACGGGGCGGGGCCGGGATGGGCGTGGCCGGGGCGACGGGGGCGGGGCCGGTGCACGGAGGGGCGGGGCTCACCCTGTACGACCACAGACTGCGTCATCCCGGGAGGACCGGCGGCGGCAGCAGCACTCCCGCCCGCTCTCCTCCTCCTCCCGCCCGCTCGCCCTCCTCCTCCTCCCGCCCGCTCTCCTCCTCCTCCTCCTCCCGCTCTCCTCCTCCCGCCCGCCCTCCTCCTCCTCCCGCCCGCCCTCCTCCTCCCCCCGCTCTCCTCCTCCTCCTCCCGCCCGCTCTCCTCCTCCTCCCGCCCGCTCTCCTCCTCCTCCTCCCGCTCTCCTCCTCCTCCTCCCGCCCGCTCTCCTCCCTCCTCCTCCCGCCCGCTCTCCTCCTCCTCCTCCCGCCCGCTCTCCTCCTCCTCCCCCGCCCGCTCTCCTCCTCCCTCCTCCCGCTCTCCTCCTCCTCCTCCTCCCGCTCTCCTCCTCCTCCCGCCCGCTCTCCCTCCCTCCCTCCTCCCGCTCTCCCTCCTCCTCCCGCCCGCTCTCCTCCTCCTCCTCCCGCCCGCTCTCCTCCCTCCTCCTCCCGCCCGCTCTCCTCCTCCTCCCGCTCTCCTCCTCCTCCTCCCGCCCGCTCTCCTCCTCCTCCCGCTCTCCTCCTCCTCCTCCCGCCCGCTCTCCTCCCTCCTCCCGCCCGCTCTCCCTCCCTCCTCCCGCCCGCTCTCCTCCTCCTCCTCCCGCTCTCCTCCTCCTCCCGCCCGCTCTCCTCCTCCTCCTCCCGCCCGCTCTCCTCCTCCTCCTCCCGCCCGCTCTCCTCCTCCCTCCTCCCGCTCTCCTCCTCCTCCCGCCCGCTCTCCTCCTCCTCCCGCCCGCTCTCCTCCTCCCTCCTCCCGCTCTCCTCCTCCTCCTCCTCCCGCTCTCCTCCTCCTCCTCCTCCCGCTCTCCTCCTCCTCCTCCCGCCCGCTCTCCTCCTCCTCCCGCCCGCTCGCCCTCCTCCTCCTCCTCCTCGCTCTCGCCCTCCTCCCGCGCTGCCGGGAGCGGCCGGAAGTCACCGCCCCTACTTCCGCCAGACGCGGGGTTTGCGCGCAAGCGCCTTTGCGGCTGGCCGTTACCATAGCGACTGGCCAGCGGCAGGTAAATCCTAGCTGCCTTGTCAACACCCCTGGGCGTCCGCAGCCCCGAGGCCCTGGTAACGGCGGGTGACGTGGTTTCCCAGAGGACTTTACACAGGGTCTTCAGTGATCCCGGGCTGGGGCGGGCTCACACGGTCACACAGGGTCACACACGGTCACACAGGGTCACACACGGTCACACACGGTCACACAGGGTCACACACAATCACAGGCTCACACGCTCACACACAATCACAGGCTCACACGCTCACACACAATCACAGGCTCACACGCTCACACACAATCACAGGTTCACATGCTCACAAACAATCACAGGTTCACACGCTCACACACAATAACAGGTTCACACGCTCACACGCTCACACACAATCACAGGCTCACACGCTCACACACAATCACAGGCTCACAGGCTCACACGCTCACACACAATCACAGGCTCACAGGCTCACACGCTCACACACACTCACAGGCTCACACGCTCACACACAATCACAGGCTCACTCACATGCACACACAGTCACACACGCTCACAGGCTCACACGCTCACACACAATCACAGGTTCACACGCTCACACACAATAACAGGTTCACACGCTCACACACAATAACAGGTTCACACGCTCACACACAATCACAGGCTCACACGCTCACACAATCACAGGTTCACATGCTCAAACACAATCACAGGCTCACACGCTCACACACAATCATAGGCTCACACGCTCACACACAATCACAGGCTCACACGCTCACACACAATCACAGGTTCACATGCTCACAAACAATCACAGGTTCACATGCTCAAACACAATCACAGGTTCACACACACAATCACAGGCTCACAGGTTCACACATAATCACACGCTCACAGGCAAATAGGCTTTTCCGGGCACGGCCTGAGCTAGGTATACCTGACCAGACAGATGGCACAGCCTTTAGAGACCAACCGCAGAGTAGCTCCAAGGTTTCTGGAGAATCCAAAAGCAATTAAGACATGGACCCAGCCTCAGACAGCGGGCACTGTAACTGAACACACATTCACGATGTGCTCAAAAAGATAAGACCTAACGTATAATGTGGCACAGAGAAGGAGAGCAGGAATAGTCAGTGAACTAGGGTGTAAGATGAAATGGATGGGGTCGGAGTTGTGGCATTTGATGTATGTACGATGTAGACGGGACTAAAAAAAAAAAAAAAGGGAGGATTGCAAAGTTTGAAAAAAAATCAGTTATTTCCAGAAACTGATTTTTTACTGAGTAAATTAAACAACATTTAAATTAAGAACTAAATTAAGAATTTAGGCTGGAGAGATGGCCCGGTTAATAAAATGCCTGCCACAGAAGCGTGGGGGCCTAAATGCACATCCTCCGCACTTAGAAAGAAACCCAGAGCCTGGGTGTCCCGGCTTGGAAGGGTGGAGTGGGAGGATCCTGGAGTATAGCTGAATCTGTGAACTCCAGGTTCAACTGAAACAATGTCTTTAAAAAACAAGATGAAGAATGATTAAGGAAAACACATCATGTTACTTCATGGTCACATCTTGCTTCCACACACTTAACAGATACACAAATCCTCAGGAACTCTAGTACTGTAGTGAAATGAATATTTTTCCCACAAAATTTCTGAGAAGCTACAAAACCCTTAGTCTCGATTTAACAAGAGTTAAACTATACTTGCCCTTAGTGTGTTGTGATATGAACCATGGCATTGGATTGGTTAGAACACCATATTCTGCCACCAAGATAGATAGTAATTGTTATTAGACATTTTTGAAAAATGTGACATTTGAAGTTATAGTGGGCTGTTGATGTCGCTGAGCCCTTTCCATATTTTTGTTTGGCTGTTTTACACCTTTGTTCAATCTCTTGTAATTAAGGGGAAGATTTTAGTCAAGAAAAATTTGAAATTGCTGGATTCACTGTTGCCTGCTTATTGGGAGTCAGTCACACAGTCAGTAGTGAAGGTACCCTGAGACTCTGGGTCTTACTGTTGAAATCCTCAAATCTGGGGCTCCCAAAAGTCGCAAAGCTTAGACAGATGTGTACGTTTTGCTGTGATTAGGTTGAATCAGTAGATTTGGATGCCAACTAGCTCGGTATTCTGGCCCTTGCAGAGCTCTGCCCACGCTGTAGCTCCCGTCATTCTCCAGAAGTCACACAACAGCAAGTCCTTCCGAATTCTGCCAGTAACTTCAGTCTGGAGTGAATCAGATGTGTCTGCTTAATTGCCAGGTGAGGAAGAACCTTCTACACCAGTCACACCAGGACTTTAGGGCAGGCACATTTAGGTTAGCCAAGATGGAAACAGCTCAATGGCAGGTTGTCTCCAGTCACACAAGCAAGATTTTTTTTTAAATGAAGTCATTGAGATTTTGGGGGTCCAATTGTGTCAATGTAATTAATAACTGATTAATACATAGGAGAAATGCATTCAACAAGATTTTACATGTTAAATGTCAGCAGAAGAGGGCCATGCATAGCCATGTAGACGGGTAATGGAAAAGGAAGGAGGGGGGAAATGGAAAAGGAGGAAGGAAGATGGCATGAGATAAAGTCTAACCCAAGGAAGAGAAAAGAGCCTGCTAAGTGCTGTGGAACAGCGCAAGAGTACAGTAGCCGATACTAAAACAATGTGTTGGGAAAGGAAATACAGGCAGAATTGAGATAAAAGAAACAAGGAAACCAATTAAAGACAAAACTGCTTTTAAGGGTTAATGAACACGTTTTTACATCATGGAAAAAGCAGATTGGAGAATGAAATCAAGTTACTGATACAGAGAAAAGGCTTGACGTAGTCACAGAGAATGCTGAGGGAAAGGCGACATTTTTGAAGCTATTAAAAATAATACTCATGGGGGAGGCAAAACAGCTCTGCAGCATAAGATGAATAAATGCCCCTGAAGCAGATAACACACAATACACCAGGACAGATACACTTAGTAATGTAAAACAATGGAAAATGGATGACTCTTGCCAGCCACTCCCATGAGTGGTTGTAGTAGTACCCAAGTTTGGACCTGAGTCTGTACAAACCAAGATAAACTCTGTAATACTGGATCTGTAATACTGGAGACACAATCAGCCTTAAATGTTCATCTTCTGCATAAGACAGATGTCGCTCAGGGCTGTCGAGGGTGGTACCTAGGTGGATGGGCTGCCATTATTGGGTCCATTGCTGGCTTATTTTAAATAGATGAATAATAATTGTACACATTTACTGGATACAGCTGGTACATGTTTAAACTATGGGATGATAAAATTCACACACTTTACCTCATATACTTACCCTTTTTATAGTGAGAATACTTAAAATTTATTGTCACTTGGAAGTTAGAACATATTAACTATAATCATCATGCTATTCAATAGATTTCTAAAATCTCTTTTTCAACCTACTAAAACTTTGTGCCCTTTGAAGATCTCTTTACTTCCCTTCTGATAACCATCATTTCATTCTCCTCCTTAACCCATTAGCTCTCAAACAGGAGTGATGCCTCACTGTGCCTGGTGTGTTTCATTTAACAGGGTGTCTTTCAGAGGCTCCTTCGTGTGGTGAATGACAGGGTTTTCTTTTTTCCTTCTTGCAGTACTGGAGTTAAGCTCATGGCCTTGTACATGCCAGGCAAATGCTCTACCACCAAGCTACATCCCCAACTCAGGATGCCTTCTGTTTTTAAAATGCCAATTAGTATTCCATGTAGCAGGTTAATTCACATGGTCATGGCCTGTCCAATTCACACCCACAACATCCTGAGCAAAGACTCCTTATAATCCACATATTTAGGTAGCAGAGATAGGTAGCTTAAGGAAACATAAAACTGATTTTCCAGAAACTGTGTTTCCGTGTTCCAGACCCAAATCTAAAAGGACTTAGAAGACTAGTAAAATTCTTCAGCAATGTAAAATTCTCATTGTCTGGTAATACTTTCCAGTATGCAAACATGATGTCTGTAACTAGGAAAATATTCAGATAAAATAGATCAAGGAAGGGCCACAAATAAAAAATTAGTAAACAAGAACATCAGTAAACAAGAGATAAAAAGAATAATATCTGAGTTCCTCCTCCTTTAGAGATGGTCTGATTATACAGCCCTGGCTGTCCTGGAACTCATTATGTAGATCAGACTGGCCCTGAACTCATGAGATCTGCCTTTCCCTCCTAATGTGCTGGGATTAAAGGTACGTGCCAGCACATCTGGTCATATCAGACTTCTTACTGTAAAAATGAAAGCCAGGAAATAGTGGAGCAAAACCTGGAAGAAAATAAAAATTGCCAAATTTGGAGCAAGTCTGTTGTCTGATTTCATTAGTCCACCTGCACAGGAGATGACAAAATCTGTGACAAATAAACCACTAAAATATTACTAAAAGGACTTAAAGAATAGTAGTAGCCTTGAAGATAATTTTACTTTGTAGTTTTAATGCCATTTCACATATAAACTTTTGGTAATCTGCTTAGAATTTCAGTGCTAACATCTTGTCAAAATTCATGGCCATCATCTTTCCACTGTTCCCTTGTCTCAAAAACACCAACTTAAACTTTTTCTTGCCATCTTAACTGGCTAGATGTTAGTCATGTATTAGCTAACAATGGGCAGCAATTATTTCAATGTGTGACTGTGACACAGTAAGTTAAACTTAGTTTTCTCTAAAATGAAATTGTGATCAATATATTTACAGATAACCCTCAAAAGAGAAAGAAGATAGAGGTAAGATTTTTATCCAACATAAACTTCATTCCTAGATAAGATGCCAGTTTTCTTTAACTTAAGGTCTGGAGCACAATGATGGAGACAGAGTATAAGATGTAGTTACCACATGTAGACAGGTAGATTACTGTCTGGCTTGAGGGTTAAACTAAAGCACTCCAAAGTAGGATGTAGAATGGAGTAGCTGTGACCGCCGAAGCCCAGAACTGGGGGTAAGAAGGACAGCATTAGCAGAGAAGGAACTAGAAGAACAGGAGTGTACACATTCCCTCCATTTGGGGGATGAAACAGGAAAAAGAGGTTGGCCAGGCACGATAAGAAATGGCCCAGGATGTGAAGAAGTCAGAATTTAGTGTGACCAAGGGCAGAGGCACAGAGAGCCTGGCTCGGAGTTTCACTATCCTGAGGTGGGAGAATGGTGAAGGCAGACTGAATGAGCTGCTGTTGATCGTCACAGGAAGTCTGGAAGGTAATGGGAAAGAGGAAACGGTGTACAAAGTGGGAAGAAGCAGGGGCATGAGTTTATGCAGAGGTTAGTTACATGTCTTCGTAGATAAGATACGTAACATTGAGACTCTAAAGCGATTCGTTTTTATTGAACATTCATCTTGTCAGCAAAGCCGTGAGCCAGTCAATATGTCGCATTCATCAGCAGGCAGGAAGTAATGTGAAAGAATCTTCTGACGTCATAATTCCTGCTGTCACTGGAGCACTGATCAACATTCCTTTGGCAAGTCAGGCCTTCTATGGAAAGTCAGCAGAAGCAATTGATTTATTCACCTCTACAGGAATCAGACTTGGCCTATTTTGGTAAGTCTATGTTTCCTTGAGCATGGTAGCCAAAGATTAATGTTATCTAAATTACACAGTTATATTAAACCACAGGTGACTGTGTTTATTCAAGATCATCAGTGAATAAAATCCCCTTTCTTGATAATGGCCTCAGTCTACCAATCAAATTCTTAGAACTTAATAGTTTAGTCTTATTATTAATTCTAGTAAATATTTATTATTAATAGAATACTGGCACAAGAAATACTTTAAAGACATTTCTTGGTTCCTATTCCTTGTATATAATAGTTGAAGATATGTAAACTTATTCAAGATAGAGTTATTAAATGTCCATTGTGTGCCCAAACTCTTCTAACTATAAAGGATTAAATAGTGACAAAGATGGACAAAGAATGGTTGAAGACATTTAGACCATTTATTAAAACAATTAGGGAAGTGCTTCTCAATAGGGAGAATTTTTGCTTCTCTCTCCACCAAGAGATACTTGGCAATGTCTCTCTCTTTCTCTCCCCTTGGTAATATATGTAAGTGTTTTCACTAAGATCATGATGTTGGGATGACTCATTGTAATGTTAACTCATTAACCCAGCTCTCCCAAGGCCAGTTGCTTAGCTAACACACTGTAACACGGGATGGGTGGACTAAATGACTACAGGAACAAAAGGGTTATCTAAGGTGCCTTGACGGCATGAAAGTCTACCCAGAGAGCGCCTACAAAGCGGAGAGGCATGGAAGGGCAGAGAATGAGGACTCAAGCTCGCTGATTTCAGTAAGCATGGGGAGGGGATTTGATCTTTTCTTGCCCCCCAGTAAAGATACCACTATCAACACAGGCTAACCACAACTTGGCATATTTGCTTATTATACTACTTGGAGTTATTTTGATTTGTCACAAGACTTTAAATTGTTTATAAGGGCTATTTGTATAATAAAGTATCTCATAGATTTTTTTTTCGGGTATCACCTTATGAATGGTTTTGTACACATATAACAAAATTATAGCATTAAAATGTCAACTTGTCTTTGAAGATAAGTGCCATCTTTATTTTAACTTTGTACCCTAGGATTTCAGTGAATTATGCCTTTTCGGTTTGGGACCCAGCCAAGGAGGTTTCCAGTGGAAGGAGGAGATTCTTCGATTGGGCTAGAATCAGGCCTGAGCTCCAGTGCTGCCTGTAATGGGAAAGAGGCGTCACCCAATAGGTGAGGTTTACTTGCCTTGACAGTCGAGGTTATGGGTATTGGCTATCATCAATATGAGCAAGAAAAATTAAACCTGGGGATCAAACCCTGCTATAATTAAATTAGTACTAAGAGAACCCAGATTCAGCAGTCTATATTTTATAACTTTGTAAGTCTAGACCCATCCTTCCCTATACCTATACATTTTTATCTACATTGTGTCTGTATTCTCAAGAGCAACATCAAATTGCCAGGATAACTATGTGAAGGGTATTGTTCTAGGTATAAGACTACAAATGTAAAAAAGAGATAGTGTCACTCGGATTAGACCATTAGCTGAAAGTACAGTAGAGTGTGAAAGTACTATGAGAGAAATCACTTTTACAAAATTGTAGCAAACGATTCTAAATAGGGTTTGTCTCACTCTTCTACTATTTAACATAGCAAAACTACAAAGAATTCACTGCTAATTCTCTTAGTGGATTAGAGTTTGGGGGACATCACAGAGTCAAGCTTAGTAAGGTAAATTCATTAAGAAAGAGCTAGAGTTACTTATGGATGAAATTGCCTAAAATATACAAGGTTGATTATTTGGTGGGAGTGTCAGAAAAGTTACTCGGTTACTAGATGCATTTTGAACTCATGTCATTTAAGGGTTATTTTAACTGTGAGATTCTATCAACATTTGAACATTAGTCTGCTAACTTTCACCCTACAAATGTCCTAGTTTTGAAATTATTCAGCCAAAGTGATTGAAGGTTCATGTCTGAATTAATTTCTATACTATAATCATTTATGTATTCTTGCTATTTAGTAATTACTGCACACCCTTGAAAATGAATTACTAGAGCATTAATTTTGTTTTTATGAATTTCCTATAATTAAATATATGGCAACAGGCATGTTTTCTTTGCTATGTAAGCATAGGATCTCTTCAGGACTTCTGTGTTAACAACTTTTATGACATCCAGAGGGCTCAGAGAGATTTGAAGCAGTTGAAAAGATATTAATTTTTTTTGCTTGGAAAATAACTCCCCATTTAGTATCTTAACTGCATATCACTTGCCCTTTCATTCAGGCAACTGCGAAGATGCCCTGGAAGTCATTGCCTGACAATAACGGATGTTCCCATCACTGTCTACGCAACAATGAGAAAGCCACCTGTGCCAAGCAGCAAGGAAATGCATCCCAAATAGCATCATTAAGTCTTCTGTCGAGGGTTGGCTAGGTCAAGGGTAATGGGCCAGTATCATCTTATGGTCTGTCTCGTAAACAAATAAAGGTGGTGGCACAACTTGAGTGATGCCAATAGGCGAGTATTTGATTTCAATAGAAACAAGAAATGGTCAGCAGAACACACACAGTGGTGAGCCACTGGTTACATCTGAAAAGGCGGACTACTTCACACTTAGAAAGCACCGTAGAGATGCTTACTAGTTACTAGTTCAAGATAAAGCTGATCCATGCTGGCCATAAGGCCAGATGCTCAGAGCTTATACAGAGCTGAGACATTTGAATTTTCATTAGTTAAAGAGAAGAGGCCATGCATACGTTGGGCTCTGAGTCTTGCCTCTGTAGGTCTAAACTCTCTCTACAAAGAGATGCAGTGTAACTCTACCAAAGCTTGAAAATAAGTTGAGACTAAAGGTGAACCCTAATGAACATAGTTGTCTATCAAGTAAAAATGCAATACTCCATAAAGAAGAAAACTAAATCTAGACTGACAATTGCCTAACAACAGGATGGATCTGAATAAGCCAACTCCTAATTTGAAAACATGTATCATCAGGTAAGCCGTTTAAAGAGAAAACAGCAATGGTAAGGAGTAAAAGAACAACATATGGAGAGAAGAGCAGAAAAGGCAGCAGATGCTCAGGGAGAAAGTTGCTTCTCCCACAAGGCTGACCTGAGTTTGACCCCAGAACCTCGTGCAAGGATGGGAGGAGGGGCCAACTCCATGACAAGGTCTCTGACCTCTGACCTCCACACGTGCACCATGGCATGCATGTGCCTCTAGCCATGCGACACACACACACACAATTTCCTTTTAAAGGCAATGGAGGGGGAGAAAGAGTTTGAGTTGGTAAATAACCTTAAAACTGTATGACTGGGGGACAGGCGCGAGTCTGAGCGCCGGGGAGCCTTGATCTCTGGGCCCCTTGTCCCGGCTCCTCACCCGCCCGTGGCATCCCCAGCGACCAGGCAGCAGCGCCACTCGGCCAACCATCCCCACATGCCCCGCCCTCCTCCCCACCAGCCACCTGGAAGGGCAGGTGAGTGACTGAGATCCGGGCTGGAGAGCACTGTTCTCTAGAGCCAATCCCCACCCCCTTTCCCCACTCATGGCGCCCAGCGACCAGGCAGCAGTACCCCCTCCCACCAACCATCCTCCACCCCACACCGTCAGCCACCGGAGCTACAGGCCCCACCTGTCCTGATTGGAGGGAGGGATGGGCAGACACAGAGTAAGGACACACTCAACAACACAAAGAGCAATCCGGCCCCACAGGAAAGCAGTGGTGTTACAACAGCAAGACCTGAACATTCCAACACAGATGAGCAGGGGAAAGCCATCTTAAAAATACCTTTACAAACATGATAGAGGGCCTTAAAGAGGAAATGAAAATTCCCTTAAGAAATAGAAAAAAAGACAGGTACCACAAACCATAATTCAATCAGGGAACACAGGGGGAGACTCTGATAAGAGTGAGCTATTATGGGTTAGGAAGAAACTTGGTGTAGAGAAGTGCTCAGGAATCCACAAGGATGACACCTGCTAAGACTCCTAGCAATAGAAGAGAGGGAGGTGTCTGAATGGGCTGTTCCCTCTAATCAGATCAGTGACTACCCTAATTGTTATCATAGAACCTACATCCAGTAACTGATGGAAACAGATGCAGTGACCCACAGCCAAGCACTGGGCTGAGCTCCTGGAGTTTGTCTGAAGAAAGGTGGCCTCCTTTCAGTCCAGAAAATATTAAATTATACGTAATTTCCTTTAAAAAATATGTGTGAATGTATGTGTGCATACTTACACGTGCCCTGTGAATGCTGATGCACACATGGCATTTGTTGGGAAGCTATAGGTAACTCTCCTGAAACTGTGTGTGTGTGTGTGTGTGGAGGATCTAACTCAATTAGGCTTGAGCTCAAGCACCTCTATGTACACTCGGAGTCATCTCCCCGGCCCCATAAAAGCATACTCCATTAGAGCTGTTACTAAACCAGGTACCCCTGCTGCAGACTGAAAACACTCCTCTAAAGGTGAAAACCGTCATCTAATTTTAGGTTGTGAACAAGTCAGGAAATCTAAGAGAAAGCAGTAGGGAATAAGTTGAACGATCTCCCCTGAGAGATGGCTCACCGGGAACACAGTGACACCTGGCTTGCGTACCAGGGCTGGTTTGGAAGCCCTTCTACTTTATTAGAGACAGGAGCAGTAACTTTGCCAGCTGAAGAACATGCTCTCTCATTAGAAGGAATTCTGCCGCCTTTTCATCATTTGCTGTCCACCGCAGATATTTTTGGCTTGCCATGTAAATTCAAATAAGAAATAGGAAGTGGCCTGTCTCTGATTTATTGAAATCCCCTTCAACCAGGTAAGAGCTGCGATGGGGAGGTAGTCCCGCCCCCTCCCCCAATGGCTCTGTGTTTATTTCAGTGCTAGAAGAGCTCTTGTAGGCAGGCAGTCCGTCGGGCCAGGTCAGGCTGTGGGGCACGAGTTGATGCTCACAGCTCCGCTGACCAGGGCTGCTTTACTGAAGTTCACTGGGCGCCCATCAATCACAAAGTGGCGGATGCAGCCTGTGAAGGGTTTGCTGGGAGCCAAACGCGGTGTCAGTAGAGACTCTGAAAAAGAGAAACACAAAAAGGAAGAATGTCAGCGGGAGGCTTCCAAGCTCCAGTATTACCTCCTGGTAAAAACCGGAAAATTGTGCAGGCTGTCAAAATGATTTCCACATCACTGAGAGCACGGGATCTCTAGCGGCCTCCCGGGACCAGCCCTTGCTCTTGAAGAATGAGAACACAGGGGGATTTTAATGTTTGCCACGCATTCTCTGATCACATTTCTGTGCATGCTGTGGCTGTCTTCCAGGCATGAAGCTTGCTGCTGCCTCGTGAAGCCTCAGCAGTGAGTTTTCATGATCTACCTGTGCTGTCCAGAGTTCATTTCCACGAGACCTCATTTGCTTGCTGTGTTTTGCCGAGAAGGGGAGAGGAATGTGAGCTCTCAAGTTACTTTTTGGACAGAGTTAATGTTTCTGCTTAATTCCTATCTCCATTACCCTTTGCCCTTAAGCCTCTACATGTTTGCCAATCGTATAGAAATAGCGGGAAAATGATTAATTCAAATGAGGTGAAATGTAATTGTCCCTAGCTCAGTGCTTAAGAACTATAAATAGGGAAGTTGAAGACAGCATGGATTTGGTGTGGACACAGGTGTCTTGTGGTATGTCAGGGAATCTTCTCATCACTGTAATAAGGCATCTAGAAGAACTGGTGCTTATTAATGATACAGATACAATTAGGCGTGTTGGGAAGAGAGAAGCAATATAATTTAGAGCAACTTAGAGAGCTCATAAATATTGTAAAATTAAAAACCATTTAGTCAAAGCTCATTCTTATAAACACACAGCTATGTGAGTAGTGGCAGACAAAAGAAAAAAAAAACCAAAAAATAAAAAACATACTTGGGGATCTGACTCAGGAAGGGACATAAAATGAAATAGGACACCAGGCAAACAGCACCAAGCAGCTATCATTAAGCATCCTGTGTGCAGTGTAGGACCAGTATGATTAAGCATCTTGTGTGCAGTGTAGGGCCAGTATGATTAAGCATCCTGTGTGCAGTGTAGGGCCAGTATGATTAAGCATCTTGTGTGCAGTGTAGGGCCAGTATGATTAAGCATCCTGTGTGCAGTGTAGGACCAGTATGATTAAGCATCTTGTGTGCAGTGTAGGGCCAGTATGATTAAGCATCCTGTGTGCAGTGTAGGGCCAGTATGATTAAGCATCCTGTGTGCAGTGTAGGGCCAGTATGCAGGGAAGCTGTGCACTGAAAATAAAGTGTGGAAAGAGCACCTGTCTTTAGAATGGCAATCATAAAGCCTTAGATGTGAAAGCGGCACCAGAGAGCCCTTCCTTTTATCTGTATCTAATTCCCAGTGGCTGCATGTTTGCAGGCTGCTCCGTGTACGTCATCCTCAGAGTACAAACTGACTGAAAGCGTGAGAGGAACCTTCTAAGGCCTCCACCACCCTGTGCACAGCGGAACACGGCTTCCATTCTGCCTGAGCTGTCTACTCTTGGTTCGTGCAGACAATCATCTGAGGGAAATAATTAATATAGCAATTCTAGTCTGCATGATTTGCCATAAAGTCTTTTGAATCACAAGGTGAACAGTTCAGGTACAGGGAAGAACAAGTGTTGTAACGCACACATGGGACAGACAGCTGTCGCTGTCACACGGGACAGACACGCTGTCACACGGGACAGACAGCCGTCACTTTCACACAGGAGAGATATGCTAGCTTAGACAGGTGATTCACAGCGAGTGCTGGATGGGATGAGGCCTTTTCCCTGCCAGCAGGCAGTGTACCATCCAGCATCAACAGTGTTCTATGGTAACTGGTGACTGTTCGAATGAGAAATGTCTCCCAGGCTCGGGTATTTCAGGATGTGGTTCCCAGCTGGCGCTGTTTGGGGGCTTGGTTGGAGGAAGTGTGGCTCTGAAGGCAGGCATTGGGACTTTAAAGACACTATTTTGAATTTGCTCTCTCTGCCCTGTGCTTTGTTAATGAGATGTGATCATCATGGATTGTAGCCCTCTGCCTTGGCCATTGTGTTTTTTCATGGTATTAGGATAGTAACTGACACAGTTTCACAACAGTGGTACTGTGTGTACAGTGTGGTACTGTGTGTACAGTGGTACTGTGTGTACAGTGTGGTACTGTGTGTACAGTGTGGTACTGTGTGTACAGTGGTACTGTGTGTACTGTGGTACTGTGTGTACAGTGTGGTACTGTGTGTACTGTGGTACTGTGTGTACAGTGTGGTACTGTGTGTACAGTGTGGTACTGTGTGTACAGTGTGGTACTGTGTGTACAGTGTGTACTGTGTGTACAGTGTGGTACTGTGTGTACAGTGTGGTACTGTGTGTACAGTGGTACTGTGTGTACAGTGTGTACTGTGTGTACAGTGGTACTGTGTGTACAGTGGTACTGTGTGTACAGCGGTACTGTGTGTACAGTGTGGTACTGTGTGTACAGTGTGGTACTGTGTGTACAGTGTG